ACTGCCCCTGGCGTAGCGTAGCAGGTTATATGTTGGGAAAATGTCCTCGGGGGCTAGGAAAAGGTCGCATTACACAGGAAATTTGTCTTCGAGATTCCGGTCAAGCTGATGGACAGCCTTTGCGACATTGCATCAACGCTAGGTTTACATGCCTGGGTTGACGGCGTCCCCATCTACCCAACTCCCATTGACTTCGTCCCTCACAATGCCTTCATTGATTCGAGCTCTATGAGTCACATCGTTCCCTAGGTCTGAGATTGGGACAGTGCTATCCTCTCTTAGCTTCAATTGCTGCGCATCGCCATTGTAGATGTGAGCCTGTGGTGACGAACACGATGAGAATGAGAGAAATCCCAACGATTTCTCTCTAATCAACGAAGGATGCCAGTCAAAGAGGCCCCTAGTCTCTAGAAATAATAACCATAATTTTCGGCAAGAGATAAGTAAGGCTGAATGCAGAGACTAGTTACCTGGGTGGTCCCATGAACCGGAGGGAAACCTACAGTTTTCTCCCCCGGAGCTCAGAGTATTCTCCCGAAGACGAAACATTGCCCTTTGTCGACAAACGACTCTTATCTGCAGTGAAATTGGTGATGAGTATGTGACTGTTTTGATGGCAGTGTCAGGCAGTTTTCACTTTTATGTAATGATGCCGCCTCCTGAGGCTTTAAGGAGTGTCTCTACCAGATCTCGAGGTATTTCAGTAAACATTGAACATCTCTAAATGAGCTCTTAGGAGCTTACAGCTGCAAGGCACAGATTGTTCAATTGACTATGTGATGATGAGCTTGTTCTATTCAGCCTTTCGATCCGCGTTACGCGAAGGCTTGATCCATCGGACTATAGGGTGGCTAGGTTCTGGGTGAGTTGGGTAGATGGGACGTCGTCAACCCTAGATTGTAAGCCTACTTCAGGAACAACATTAACCAACAGGAGGTCGTCGATGATCTCTGGCTCCTCTCTCACTTTTAGTTCCGACTGCTCTGAACTGTTGTTCTGAACGGCTGTGGCATACGTGATAAGTTGGTGGTTGGAGCGTCCGTGAATAGGTATGTGCTCCATTTCTATTAGAGGCTTGTCAGTACCTGCTGGTAGTGGTGAAATTTTGCCTTGCGCGAACCTCTGTTTTCATGCCCTAGAGCATGAGAATCTATATTGGCGTTGGAATGATGTAATCCTCGACTCCCAACTCCGACGTCGTGCCATTTTGGATCAAGAAGCTCTACTGAAAGTTAGCTCAGTTAGCGGTGCCATGGAATCATAAACTCACTGGAAAAAAAATCTTGAATTCCGGCGAGTCTCTAAGGTCTATGTGGCTCTGGAGTTACTTAAGGTCTCCATAACCGCTGGCGGCCAGATCCGGACATCAGTGATCCGTATGTCATCAAGCAAACTGTCAAAAACAGCATGGCCCATTGAATTTGCAAACCATACGGTGGGGATGAATGAAATTGACCACGCTACTGATGCATCTGGACCGAGTCTCCGGAGCCTCTCGCATATCCTTTAGTGCTGCTGATTCTCCTTGACTTCTCCTTGGAAAATTTCAAGTCGGGTTAACTGGGGCCGCTGAATACCAGCGCCATAGTCCTTCGAAAAACCGCCAGGTTTGATAGCTTCTCTTCCTCGAGTAGCTTTGTTATAGTCGAATGAGACCCGTTTCTTAGCTCGCCATTGATTCTCCATGCCCCTTGACATGGTTTCATAGACCCTATTTTCTTAGCAATTGTAGTGACTGCAACATCCAGCCTCGCTGATAGCCCATTCAAAGCGCCAACTTCGTCGTCAGTAAGTGGTATACTGTCCACTTCTAGTAACTGATTTTCTAAGTCCTGGGCCATCTCGTCTAGCCGTTGAATATTAACCATGGTGCCCAGGAACAGGGAGTGTTGGTGAGTAGCAGCATGAGACTTTTGAAGCTCAATATCCGTGATAATGGACCATTCGAAGTCTGAACATTCGGAACTTTGAACAATCCAAAGTGTAAGTTACTTGAATGAAACCTGGAGGAGCAGAAGCTTGGGGTTTCGAAAGACTGAGAGTTCGAAGCTTGGGAGTTCGAAGCTTGGGAGTGCGAAAGATTGGGAGTGCAGAGGAGTTGGGAGATGATTCGCTTGTCCCCTACAACATACCACCCTGGAAGCCCCATAGTCACCCACACCCGAGTTTATGAGGACCTTGTAGGCAGAAAGTAGGGCTGAGGTACGTCCTTGCTGGCCTGGATATACTTCAGTGGTGACCTTGAACATTGCCCATACCTCCGACCAAGAAAAGGCCATTGAACATCATGATTCACAGACGAGAGTGGGCCCCGATCTTACTAGGAGAACAGAAATCATCTATAAAGAGACCAGGCTTGAGCGAACCGTGAATCTTTCTTCTCAATATTTCAAAGCAGATCCTTCTTTGATCTTCTTGCCACTCCTTGCATCTCCTTGCAACTCCTTACGACTTCTAAAGATCTATCATAGCTTCTTGAGCTCTTTGAAACGTTTTCAAGAAGCCCCTGCAACTCTCCGACAAACACTTTGCGACCCCTTCAACTTTTTAAGATCCTTTTACGACGAACCGAAGCATCTTCATTTACCAGAATGGCACTTCAAACTCCCCCAAGAGGCGCATTTGGCAAGATGACCTTCGAGGTTTTACCGAAGAAATATACTACTGTGACGGTTAGTTAGTGGTGCCCTTAGAAACGCAAGACGATGAACCTGGAATCTATCCAACCTTTGCTTGCTAGTAAAGCTGCCACACTTAAGTATATCGGGGCGAACACCTCTATTCCCGCACCTCCCTTGAAAAGTCGGTGCCTGCCAGCTAGACAAAGCTTCCAGGTCATTGTGTCTGCCACGTTGAGGAGGCGGTTCTACTTGCTATATCTGCTGGCTCAAGTTCAATTGGTCTTCAAGCGCTAAATACCCTTCAGCGTACAGAAATATGGATCACATGTCTGCCGTGACGCACAACTGCGAGTTCTGGACATGAGGCGTTATCTCTCTATACTATCGGGACAAAACAACAAGTCTTCTAGAATTCTGTTAGCCTTCCTGTTTCTTAGTATATTTTCGAATTGGCTAGTATCGAGGAAACTCACCTCAGCATGTCTAAAAAGTGCCTCCTCGGTCGCACGTGTAGAAACATGATGCGGCCAAGTAGAGATTTTGATCTCACATATTGTGGCGCCTATGTAGAAACCCAGGATGGGCTTGAGGTCTATTATTGCAAAGGCCCTTTTTTGACTGGATGACATTGGAGAATCCTGTCTCATCGACCAACGGGTCATTCCAGGAAGGCGATGCGATAGATGTTTCTTGAGCTTGATTTCGGCCGACACGTTGTTACCTGGATCGGAGCCGGAGGGGCCTTCGGAGGGCACAAGCAGCATTCCTAACAAGAGCACAAGAATGAGCACAATCCAGCAAAGTTTCTCTGTTACTATGAGCGCAAGTGCCTACCCAGCCCTCTTAGCTAGTGAGACATAGACGGTAAAGTCCTGATGGGACCCGTTTCGTCCTAAGACACGGGCGGGAGGATGCACAACAACAAATCCCAGGATAGCGGGCACATGCATGGGAAAAGTTCCCATCCTCGGCGTTGTACGTTAGCTTCCTCCCCCCCCGGGGATACGTCTCACAACCTGTTTTGTGGCGGTTGGTGAGTTCGTAGACAACACTCGCTTGAACAACCTTTGATTGCTGGGCAGGGGAGGAGAACTAACGAGATAAGGTGTCGGGATGTGACACACCAAAACCCATCTCTGGCTGTAACTTGCCGGCCACAGGCTACCAAGGTAGTGTCATGCTGTTGGGAGTTCGCCGTGTACCTTGCATCCCAGCTTGTTGCGTATACAGCCGCCTTAGGTCCCTGGTTGAGTAACACAACGTCAATAACCTCCAATAGCGACGCCTAGACGATTATCGTTGGGCCAGCTGACAAAAACTAGCTTGCTGATTGTCTGTTACGACGCCGGAAGTCCTCCCTTTATCGTATCTCGCATGAATGTATATATGTAGGGGCCCCTGGTGCCTAGTCGCAGTGCACAACGTCAATAGTCTTCAATAGCCAAGGCTGGCTGATGGCGATCAGTTCTCTGTTTGGCTAAGTACCGTGCCATACCTATACATCAATCTGTACACACTTTTGATCTGGCAGGGAGCCACTGCCAGGGGCTGAAGAGGCAGCAACAGGAGTACCATTGTAAACATGTTGAGAATTGTCATGCTACAATTTGGCGTAGAGTCAAGAGATCACAAATATCGAATGTACGTGCTTGGGAGGAAGCCAACATATTTCTTGTATTAGAGGCTGCTTTCCTAGGTCAGTCAACCAGCCCTGCTTATGGTAGTAAGAGCTCAGCCAACAACCTTCCCCGGACCAGTTCCTCTATGCCTCTTTCAATGCCACTGCAATGCGAATTTACACCTTTGTATCCTTGAACGGTGCCCTGGGTCGTGGGTCTGCCTTTCCAGCTCAGGCTCGGTCTAGACCGTTGCTATTGTGCTTCCTATTGTTCAGACGCCACATGACGTACGACATAATAACACCTTTATTGTTTGTGTGACACAGTCAAAGCATGTAGGTAATGGGCAGATGCGTATAGTTCCTTGTACATGTAGCTCGGTAGCCACACGCCCTTCCACCCCCCTCCCCTGCCTTTGTCTTGGCCCCAAGCTCTCCCAACAAGCTGAGAGATTGCGTTTGTGTGGTGGCACTCGGCGGTTCTGACGTCTGGGTTTGATCAGCTCCGCCCCCTCTTTGTCTCCCTTCACCAAGTGTCCGTGGCCCAGATTCTCTTGCCTATAAGACTTGTGCACACTTTAGTCGGCTGACCTTCGATTCAACCAAGACTCGAACTCTGTTGCCCAGCAATTTTGCCCGTCTCCTTGAGATTCCTGTGCCATACGTTGTTTATTGGCCAGGTTATAATCAAGTTGGGCTTGAGAGCCTTCATTCACCACTATTCTTCAGACAACGCCGGTTGAAACATCAGCACGCCAAACATGGGTTCGTTAATCCCCGATTCCCTTGTTAAGGCCCATTTGGGTTCGAAGCGTCACAGTCCTGACCTCGAGGATGGCATAGACGAGCCAGCCTCTAAGCGAAGCCGGTCTGCTGTAATCACAGATGAGAATGAACACGGCAAAGAGAGCCTCGAGACCATTGCCACTGCCTACACCCAAGCGCCAGAGCCCGATTCCACGGATTATCTCACACATGACGACCGGGGTTCTACCAGCAGCGCCCCGAGTGCTCCAGACAGACTCGGAAACGACTCTGACGACACAGTAACGGATAAGTCTGCCGCCCCAGACTCGGCCCCCGAGAAGAGTATCGACAACGTCGTCGATACCGACGCGCCAAAGGCTAGTCCATCCGGCCAGCCCACTCACAGCAGCCAGGATCCTGCCCTCTCCATCCCAGATCCTACTGCCGTACCTGGCAACGGAGTTGACGACGCGGCAACCTTCAAACCAGCCGTCTCGGGCTCAATTCCCGAAGCGAGCGCCGATAATGCTTCCAACAACTTAGTAGGCCTTGCTTCCAACAACCTAGTACGCCCTCCTTCCAACAACCTAGTAGGCCTTGCTTCCAAGATTGCCCCTGCTGCTTCCACCACTTCCCTCCCGGTTGACGTCGAGGAAGCCACGTGTGGGTTAGAACAGTTGAAAAAGGCCCTCTCTAGACCTTGGGACTATGACAGGATTAACGCTTTCGAGTGCGGAGAAATGATAATCCAATTCTGGGGAGATCTTCGCGCTCGCGTCGGGGAGTTTGTCCTCAACACCTTGCCGCCAGTCTACTCTTGGGATAGGCTACCTGGTGTGTGGCAAAATGAGATCAGTGAATGGGCGACGAATGCGCCTAATCATTTTAACTCTAGCAATAAAAATGTTGTTGAGCATATCTTCATGGCTTGGATTCACCGCATCCTCTATGAACACGTCTTCTCGGGAGCGGACCCAGATAAGTGGAATGGAGAGCTGTGGCAATCATTTGGCAAAATACAGGCCTCTGCTCGAAGTGTGTGCTTAAATTTCTGGCATCTATTCCTAATAGTAGCCCCGTAAAGACAGCGCTGACTCGTTTTATAGAGCTTGTTACCGACTCCGATGACAAATACAACCCCTTGTACCATCACTGGCGCAATCTCACTGTTCGAGTAGTACATCGACAGAATCCCGAACAGAGACACTTTGATCCTTGTTGGCTACGAAGCTTAATAGAGAAGCGTGTTCTCAGTATCCAGACTGAATACCTCGAAACTAATCCCCACTCAGAGCTTAATATGACGGTCCTCGAATTCCTAGACCAGAATTACGTGAACTTGATCGATCTAGTCATGCGTATGGATATGCTTATGATTGTAACTCGCTGGCACATAAGAATGGAGATGTCCCACCCAGATACGGCTCAAGTCCACGGATTCCGTCCGGAAGAGAATCGAATGGATATCACAGTCACTGAGCTCGGAGCAGAGCCGGGGCTTGTCGACTACGTCATGGTCCCTGCGCTTGTAGTTCACGGAGACACCGATGGAAGCTTTCCACAAGTGGGAACAGAATCCGTCATCTATCCTCTTGGTTTCGATTATTGGTACAATGCTGATATGTACAGCACACCAATGGAAGTTGTTTGTCCGGAGAAGCTGGAGGAAGGGGGCCAGAACTAGGATACCAGGATGTCACGAGCGAATGCAGAGGTGCTAACAATTGAATGGGTTTGCACATTGATCTCACAATTCGCTACATACCCTTTTGCTAGAAGCTTGTAGACAGATTCTCACCAATGCTACTTACTTATTGTGTCATTAACTTTTCCCATATCCCCTTTTACTCAAGTTTGTACTTTTTCTCTCTTTCCTTTTTTTTTTGGCTTCTCGAACAGGCCCAGACTGTTTACAATGTCTCATATCTTCATTGCCAGCACTGCTTGCTCTCTATCATTAACCTACGGCGCTTCAAGGAAAGAAGATGTGACAACGTGATGGGACTTTCCCCCAACACCGGCCAGACCGCTCACTCTCCTCTCGACAACTTTTTGGTTCTGTACACCCCCCTAGCTAAGCCACCGCACCGAGACTAGGGGAAATCAGCTGCAGCCAACCTACTCCCCCCCCTTTAGTCCTGTGCCAATTAGTTACACAACGGCGGGAATCAGCCAGAAGGTACAACATTACGCTGCCGTCCCAGGCTGGATACAGAGCCCTGCTGCTCTCCACTTATGCATTTTGCTTACGCTGGGTCTGTGGCCCAGTGTCTATGGGAGTTGGCATTCAACGTCCCGCGGCCAAGTACCGGGGGAGGGGGGTGGGAATGCAGAAGCGCCTCCTTATTGCCTGTAGAGGTACATCACACAGTCTCGCAATATTTGGGATTGGACGATGCGGTGTACACTTGCTATTCGCAGGAATCAAGTCCTTCCGGCATGCCATTCAGCTTCTTCAGTTATAAGTACTCCTTTGCCCTCCTCCGCCTACCCTTCCTCTTCCTTGCCTCTTCATCTTCGATAATTACTTCAAACATACTGTTCCATTTCTAGAGACCTTTGAATATTGCATCACATTTTCTTTCTCGCCATTCAGTCTTTCGAGATGGAAGAGAAACCTCCTTGCTGTCAACCACATGTGGTCATTGGCCTTGATGTAGGCACAACGTAAGTGAACCAGAGTACGATGGGTGTCATCCAGTGTTGCTAACACCTCTCAAGGTACTCCGGTGCGTGCATCGTTGAAGCCATCAACTGTTTGACGCATGGACGTCACGATATCCTTCATGCCAAAGTAATCAGAAAATTCCCATCGCTTGTAGCGGTCTCTTTGGGCAATAATGGTCCGAAAGCCCGCTTCCTTGGTCCTCGTGAAAAGCCGCACGATGATGAAGAGATCCAGAGATTTTTCAAATTCGATCTTTTCTATGAGTTTAATCAATACGCCGAAGATACCAGGCTGGTGACTTGGGTGAGAGAAAACGAAGGACACGAGAAGAAGAAGGTGGGAACACATGATGCATTCAGGACCTTTCTCGAGGGTCTCTTTGTTCTTGCTCTTGAGAAATGCAAGAACAGAAGTGTCCCCGTCACCACTGCAATCACATACCCTCGGAAACTCTCTCGCAGCAGTTCCTCAATAATCCGGAATCTTGTCATCCATTCCGCCATCCCAAACCAATGCAGTACAGTGATCTATGGATCAGAAGCGGAGGCAGCCTTGGCCGGCACATTCCAGCTTTTGGAGACCCGTGGGCCCATCGAGGTATATTATTTATCTTCTCTCTATCAAGGCCCTTCTCAGCTAGACTTCTTCCTTAATGTTCTCGGCAAATTTTCCCATGATTTTCTTTTTCTTCTTGCTTATCATCTAGAACATTCCTACCTTAGACTTCACTCCCTTCTTCCATCTCCTGCCCCAACTGCCCCGTCTCTGTGTCCCATGTCTTTGGATTCTATTTGGCTTCAGCTGACATCCCGAAGGAGCCTCTGATCATCGCTGACTGCGGCGGTTTAAGCATTGTTTGTGCCTTCCAACCTTCTCACACCCCATCCGTACTAATCTGCTCGAAGGATATCGCGGTTTTTCGACCGGAAGATCACGGACGCTCGATCCCCCCGCCCACAAAATCAATCGCTGGGGGTGGTTTATGGCTAGACCAAGTTTTCAGAGACTTGATGGAGGACAAGATCTCAAACGCTGTCTTCCATGTCCGGAAGCGCCATGTGAACGATCTAGAGAGATTTCTAAACCGTCGCCCCAGCTACAGAGCCGAAATCCTTCGAAGATGGGAGCTTATCAAGCATGAAACCCGCCTGGCCGCACCGAATATTTCCGTGCAAGTCTTGCACACCGAAATCTACTTCTCCAGGTAGGACATCTCTTTCTTCCCCTGCATTCAAATACCATTGCTCCATGGATCAACTGTGGTCAATTTCAGCCCATCATAAACTCAACCCAATCCTTCCTTCTCCCTCCCACCCTCACCCTCAAGGTAGGGTCTAGTTTCAATCTAGTGCCGCTAACATGTCTAAACCAAGCGACGAGATCCATGGCGTGATCCACGAGCACGCAAAACGACTAGTGCGGCTAATCGACAAGATCGGAGACGACGAGGTCGAGAGCAATGAGCGCAGAGAGCGCCCTTCGGTGCGCCATCACCACTTCTACATTCTGCCACAGTCTCAATTCATTCTGCTAACAACCACATGACAGAAGGTGATCATGACCGGCGGCCTAGCCAGGATTTGTTTGTTCTACCGCAAGGTGGAAGAGCAACTGCGCAGGGAGCGAGTGGGTTCCATGTATTACCCCTACAATGCCATTGATACGTAGGATTACCAGAGCCTTGTCGTCGTATAGTACCATCTGCTAACGTTGAACGAACTAGGTGGAACGTCGTGGCAATCGGTGCCGCCTTCTTTCGTCACCAGACCATTCCCGTCGGCCGTCAGATGGAGGAACATGAGCCCCAGGACCATGCAATGCAGAACAGCGGTCTCTAAGTCCTAGGGGACGGTGCATAGGGTGGTGACTTGTGACTTGGAGATGTGATGGGGCGGCATATTTCGATGAGTGAGCAACACGTCTTCCTACCCACGATATAGACCTATGTGCCATCGTTGGTACTCAAATGGTGCATCAACACTCGGAGCTTGTCATCCTCAACAACTACCCCGTAGCTAGACCATTTGTGACCCGCGACCAATGTTACCTACCTGAGGTACACAACGACGTCGCTTTCCCTTGGTGTAGCTGGGTGGGCTATACGTTATGCGATATGAATTGGGAAGGGGATATCGTGAATCTATCCATGAATGTGGTAAAAAAGGCTTGTTTGTTCTGATGCTGAGTGTAAATAGAGTGCTGAACTGAACACTCGTGGGTCAGTGGCGGGTAATTTGCGGGTGAATCAACCAATTTCCCAATCTGGCGTCAATTTTTGAACGACTGTTGGTTGGGATCTTTTTTCCAAATCTTCTTTTTCGCCTGGTTGATTGAGCAATCCAAGTCGGACATTGTCGCATACAGCCCGAAAAGAGAAAGGGGATTAAATGAGAGAATTAGCCCTGGGGAAGATCAAATGATGAAATTGGCATTTTGGTGATCGACATGTCACTTTACCATGAGGCGGCAGAGTTCCTCCTAGCGCCAACTTCGGACGGCGGCAGTCTCAAAGCTCGAGTCTTCAAGAAGAAGGGCCTCAAGTCGCCCCCCAATCAGCTATATGCTTTGGTGCTGGAGACTTGCAAATGGAGTGTCGTGCTCAAGGAGGTCATCGAGAGGGCCGAGCTTTTGAAACTTGAACGAAAGGTATGGCTCTCGATTTCACTTATACATCTTACCTTGTCGAGCGCATTGAATGCCAAAATCGGATTCTTCTATTTTCTTCTTTTTCTTCTTCTTTTGGGCCTATGGGTATGCTTTTGAAGCTGATACTGAATCTATATTTCTAGTTGACACCCGCTCTCTCGTTACTACTGACACATGATCTGCTCCTGGCCAAGGGCGGCATCGCCCTCCCCCAGAGCCATGGTCTCAGACAGAGCGTCGAGCGCCACAAGGGCCGCCTCACGTCCGAGCTGACGCTCGCAAGGCTCCGGAGCAAGGCCGCCTCCACCGAGCAGCTACGGGAGCAGGTCGAGCGGGCGTCCGCAGGCGAGGAGGCCAACATCCCGCGCTGGGTGCGCGTCAACGCCCTCAAGAGCAGCGTCGAGGACCAGCTGGAGACCACGTTCGCCGCGTACAAGCGGACGACGGAGCTGCAGGAGGTCATCCGCTCCCTGCCCAGCAAGGCGGCGGGAACCAGGCTGGTCTACATCGACCCGCACGTGCCCAACCTCCTCGCCGTCACGCAGGGGACCGACCTCACCAAGACGGACGCCTACGGGGCCGGCAAGATCATCCTGCAGGACAAGGCGTCGTGCTTCCCGGCATACCTGCTCGACCCCCGCTCCGAGGACGGCGACGTGGTGGACGCGTGCGCGGCGCCGGGGAACAAGACGACGCACCTGGCCGCCGTGCTGCACGGGCACCGGCCGGACTTTGAGAGCGCGCCGCAGACCATCTTCGCCTTCGAGAAGGACTCGCGGAGGGCGCAGACGCTGGAGAAGATGGTCAGGATCGCCGGGTCGAGGAAGCAGACGGTCATCGCGCCCGGCCAGGACTTTTTGCAGGTCGACCCCGAGGCGGACAAGTACAAGGATGTCGGGGTGCTGTTGCTGGACCCGAGTTGTTCGGGAAGCGGGATTGTTGGGCGTGATTCCATGCCTGAGCTGCATCTGCCGGATGCGCTCGACAAGCAGTCCCAGGGCAAGGGTGCACCGCCGCCAAAGAATGGGCAGACGGCGAGGAAGAGGAAGCATGGGGAGGTGGAGAAGGGGGAGAAGGAAGCATCACAGAACGTTCTCATCGATGACGAAGGGAACGAGACGGTCGTCAATTCCAGCAAGGACTTGCAGGCAAGGCTGGAGGCGCTTTCTTCCTTCCAGCTGATTATCCTTCTACATGCCTTCAAGTTCCCGTCTGCCAAGCGGATCACATATTCTACATGTTCTGTGCACGCGGAGGAGAACGAGCGAGTTGTCATGAAGGCGCTACAATCAGATATTGCCCGGAGTAGGGGCTGGAGGATTTTACGGAGAGACGATCAGGTCAGTGGACTGAGGGATTGGGACGTCCGGGGCCTTCCAGAGGAATGCGGCGGGGATACAGAGATTGCGGAGGGATGCATTCGGAGTCACAAAGGGGACGGGCGGGGAGTGATGGGCTTCTTTGTTGCGGGGTTTGTTCGATCCGGCGGCGATGCGGATGGCCGTGACGGTGTTGGTGATGACTCTGATGAGGGTCCATACCTCCGGGATGTGGAGGGGAGAATCATCCGGGATCAGCTCGGGATGCCGGTGCTAAAATCCACGGGAGAACCAGTCACACTGATTGCCAGGGATGAGTCTGACGAAGAGGACGACAGCAGTAGTGGCACATCAGATGACCAAGCAACGGACGAGGTAGAGGAGGACGAATGGGATGGATTCGGAGATTAGACTGGTATAGGTACTAAGGCCGCCGCAGGTGGTGATCTGATTAGAAACGGGACATTCGTGAGAAGGCAGCACAACAGATCAGATCTTGGATGAATGGCGAGAAGAATCGGCAAGATTGTGCCGAGCTGGTACGTAGCACTGCGCAGCGACAAGCCGCTGTGAGTGGACCAGCAAAACAATAAAGGGTCCATTGTTGGACTTATCTGGGATTTGAAGATCTTTGAGCCCCGAATCCCGGTTGGTGACCAGACTGTCGGCGGCCGAATGAGGCGAGACGTGTCCGGCGAAGGAAAGGTCGAGAAGCCTAATCAAAGAAGCGGGCCTGGATAATTTGGTGTGTCGGGCTCGGGCAGGGATTCGTTATCGTTGGGGGAAGCAACATTTTTTCTGGTCGCATGGGCCGACGATCGATGGCGTCAGATGGCGGTTAGCGGCAGATGATACGGGTGTGTACTGATTCATCTGTCGTCGGCTTACGGCCAGGAATGATTCAGGCCGTTGTTCCGTCAATGATGCCTCTCAGTGAGTTTCTGCTGCCACCCTCACGCAGCATGATACAGCCCCTCATATGTATGTAGCCGCATGCAGGTCAGCCGTTTGGAAACAACGCTGTTACGTCGCAGCCGGAGATTGGATCTGGAGCTTCTCCAGGCCATGGTCGCTCCATCGAAATTGCAACGTGCTGCGGGCAAAGCAAAACTCTTGCGCATTCGTATATAGCCCCCACCAGCTGCACGCAGCCTCGGCACATTAAGTAATGGCACACTGCATTGGAGCCGGGTTGCCTAGCGCCGGGCTCAACCAAGATGGCGACGCTCCACCTGATCCAGCTCGGAGGTTCGAAACTAGCTGAATTCTGGGTATGGCCACATGGACGGAGCGGGAGCCAGCCTGGGATGTTGTGAATCCCGGCCTCCCGCTTACTTGATACGGAGGGCTTGGTCTACAAGATGCTCCAAACCCGCTCCATGGAGCGGGAAAATCTCTCGATTCGGCTTGGTAATACAGCAGTCTTTTTCGACGTCTTATCTCCGGAGATTTCAAGGCCCAGTAGTCGATACCGGTAGATAGTAGTATGCGGGCATGGCGGTGACTTTATTAAGAGGCCCGACTGCCCCTATATAACTCACCTGGGTGGAGCTGGGTTGTTACCTCGAAGATCGTCAACTTCAACATCACCATATCGTAGCACTGCAACGCCGTCTCCAAGCAGCCATGGCACCAACGGCAGAAGCCCCGATATCATCGTCGTCGTCGTCTTCATCGGCTACAGCAGCAGGCGCCGATGTCGAGTCACAGCGTACCGCCAGCGACAGGCACTCGTACTTTCGCACTCTAATTGACCAGGCCGGTATCACTCAGGCTGTCCTTGACCACAAGTACGCTGGCGAAGGAACCGCCGAGTCTCCTTTCCAGGTCGAATTCATCCCCAACGATCAACACGACCCGACGACCTTCTCTCAGTCCCGAAAATGGTTAATCACTTTGGTCCAGGCCATGGCAACCCTCTCCGTAGCCTTTGCCAGTTCGGCCTACTCTGGTGATGTCACCGGTGTTATCAGGGAATTCAATGTGTCGACAGAAGTCGCCATTCTTGGTGTTTCCATGTTCGTCCTGGGCTTTGCCATTGGTCCTCTGATCTGGGCGCCCCTGTCCGAGTTGTACGGCCGCCAGCGACTTTTCTTCTTTACCTACATGGGTTTGACCGCTTTCAATGCTGGAGCTGCGGGAGCCCCCAACATTGCAGGCCTGATCGTGATGCGATTCTTCGCTGGCTCTTTTGGTTCAGCTCCCCTGACCAACGCTGGTGGTGTTATTGCCGATATGTTCTCGGCTAAGGAAAGAGGTATCGCCACCTCCATCTTTGCGATGGCCCCCTTTTTGGGACCTTCTCTCGGTGAGTAATTGTGAACTCGCCTTATTTTGTTTTGAATAAGTGACTGACTGGTGTAGGTCCTATTGCTGGTGGTTTCCTGGGTCAGGCCGCGGGCTGGCGCTGGGTCGAGGGTTTGATGGCCGCTTTCTGTGGTGCCGTCTGGATTATCAGCACTCTGAGCTACCCCGAAACATACTCGCCGGTGCTACTCAAGGTGAGAGCTGCCGCTCTGAGCAAAAAGACGGGAAAAGTCTACGTCTCGAAATTGGATGCCGGCAAGCCCACCAAAACCCTTCGCCAACAGTTTGCGGTCGCACTGTCGAGACCCTGGGTTCTGCTCTTCAAGGAGCCCATCGTGTTCCTTACCTCGCTCTACATGGCCATCATCTACGGCACCATGTACCTCTGCTTCGCTGCATTCCCCATCGTCTATCAGCAGGGGCGTGGGTGGAAGCCAGGTGTTGGTGGCTTGGCCTTCATTGGTCTGGCTGTGGGCATGACCATCGCCACAGCCGGCAGCATTCTCGACAACAAGCGCTATATCCGTGTAGCTATTGCTCACGGCGGTGCAGCTCCCCCTGAAGCA